ATTCATATTATATCCAAATTAGATTGCAATTTAATTCAATGAAATGAACTCAATCCTTTTATTTTCTAACATAAGTCACGTTTGTTGGCGAATTAGTCAAATACTCCAACAAAAAAAATTATATTAATAAAAGACTTTCTTGATCCATGAAGCCCATGTATAACACGAGAAACAGAATCACCAGGCGCGCCATCCCGTCCCCACCGCTGATCGCTATGCATTAGAACACGACACCTCCTTCTCAAGGTCTTCAAGCCATCACCTGTCAGCCCACCGCGCGCATCCTCCTCACACACACAGCGCCCCGGCCGCTACCCATGGCGCCAGACCCCGAGCCGCTCCTCCCTCGCGCCGGCCACCGCCCCGCCACCGGCGGCTGGAGGTCGGCTCTGTTCATCATCTGTAAGCCTGCCACGATCTCGCTCCCCCCTAGCTTTGCTTTCTCGGCTCGATTCATTCGCTAATCAGGGGTGGGCGCTACATGCTTTCCGCGGCGACTCAAGGGGTGGAGGTGGCGGAGCGGTTCGCGTACTACGGCATCTCCTCCAACCTCATCAGCTACCTCACCGGCCCGCTCGGCGAGAGCACGGCCGCCGCCGCCGCGGCCGTCAACGCGTGGTCGGGCGCCGCGTCGATGCTGCCGCTGCTCGGCGCCGCCGTCGCCGACTCGTGGCTCGGGCGGTACCGCACCATCGTCGCCTCCTCCGTGCTCTACATCACGGTCAGCTAACCCTGCACAACACCTCTGATTCGTTCGTCGATGTCGAACACAGCTTTTTCCTCCTGTTCAGTTGTCCAACTTTTCTGTGGTTCTTCTGAACTGGGTCCAGTTAGATCGTTTACTGGTTCAAAAAATCTCGCACGAGTGGCGCATGGAACCGTATAGTAGTAACATTTTTTGTTTTATCAGTTTAGACGCAACTGCCTACTAGAATATTATCGTTGACAGGGATGCCTCATCGTTTTGATCCGGCGGAAGCGGAGACGCCACACGCGTACTGCTCCCCACGTCGCTGTGCTCATAAATCAGCTGAACCGGTCCTCCAAGAAAGAATGCTGAGCTGAACTATAAACCTTTTGTTTTCTGAGACCGTACTATATTTTTTTCTTGAAACACATGATCATCACCGGATCGAGGTTTCCAGATCATCTTTAGCGCTTTAGCTCGTGCCGAGCCGCAAAAATATATTTATGCGTCCTTTTAGGTGAAGCAGTAGCGCGGAAACTTTTTTAAAAGTGCACCCGCCCCCATGTTCCATAGCGGCCTAGCCTAATCAAGCGCTTCAAACTCTCTGAGTGTTTGATCGTAACCATGTACTCCCTCCATCCTCTTGAATGCTTATCGCAGAAATGGGTGTATCTAAATGTATTTTTAATTTTAAATACATTCATTTCTACAACAAGTAATTTGGGACAGAGGGAGTATTAGGTAGTCCGGCCTGCATCTTATTTGGGACGGAGGGAGTACTAGGTACTAGGTAGTCCGGCATGCATGTTGCTTCCGGTGCACAATTGAATCTACACAATCTAATCAATTCGGAGTAGCAACCGCCAAAAAAAACTAACCGCTAAAATAAAATAAAATATGCACAACCGCATGTACTTGATTGTTGGCCGGAGGTGGAGCGAGTGTCATTGGAGGTGGAGCGGGAGTGGATGGTGCTGGAGCAAACCCCACGAGATCGGCACCATCCACGCCCCTGCCGCGGCTGGTGTCTCAGGAACATCATCCAAACTCCCCGCCTTCAAAACCCCATAAAAGTCATTCAGTGGCCTAGACGGAGCCCCATGAAACCTCACCCAAATCTCATGCAGCGGTAGACCCTCAGGCTCACGGCTAGACCACTCCTCGAATTCGAGAAAACATGTATTGTCCGGTACCTCACAAATACTATAAACACCATGAGACGAGCCCGATCTTCCTTCCTTGTGAAGTCCACCAATGACCATGGCGTTGCTGCCCTTTTTCATATGATGTGGAATATGGATGAACATCCTAATTAATAAGGCTAATTAATTATGACCAAAGAGGGCAGCAACGCCATGGATCCTTGGCGTTTCTATGATGGCCAGAAACGCCAGCTCCTTCGGCGTTTCTTACCTGGTCCGCAACGCTAACTACCTCGGCGTTTCTTCTTTGATCAGAAACGCTAGCTACCTCGGCGTTTCTATGTTGGGCAGAAACGTCGCGGGCTATGGCGTTGCTAAAAGAGTCAGATCGTGAAATACTTTCACGTCGAGTTCATTCTGTGACAAAGTTCGTTCAAAGGGTCAGAATAATGATTTCGGCCTGCACCAGATACGTTCTCGCGCAACGGGTGTGCAGCATACTCGTGTCCTTCATCCGAAGAGGACAATCCCATGTACCTTTGGTCGCAATAAACACCGTATCCATCATAGCATCAATCCTCTCTGCATCAAAGAAGTCCTGCAGAGAGGATTGTACATTATTTGGTTTCAATGTAGTTTCTGAAATTTCAGAATTTGTTTTGATTAAATTGTATTCTCTCCGTTCGAAAAAGCTTGTCCTTCAAATAGATGCATCTAGCACCAAGTTAGTGCTAGATACATCCATTTGAGAAACAAGGTTCGGATAAGTTTTTTCGGACGGAGGGAATACATAACCCATTTGGTTCGGACATGTTTTGTAGTTTAGTTTCACCAAATCCATGCTCTTCTTTTCATTCAGATTCCTCCCATCTGGCATCTGCCCATTATATATTAAAGGATGGTTTCATAAAATTCGAGCACCCTCTGTGCGGTCCATATGTTGAACGATGAAATTGTGTGGTTATTTTGGAGAAATTGTATCCACACATGCAAAATTCGTGTATGATTCATGCTTCAGTAGTATCCCTAAAGCTTTTAAATTTGAACCATCACAAGGGTTGCTGGTTTCTGTTCTTCTCAACCAAGCTGAAAAATCTGCAGGGCCTCGGGATGCTGGCGCTCTCGTCCATGTTCTTGTCACCGAGCCAACAATGCAAGCTCACCGCGGACGGCCGGGAGGCATGCCCGCGTTCCTCCCTGCAGACGGCCTTCTTCTACGTCTCGCTCTACCTGGTAGCCATTGCGCAGAGCGGCCACAAGCCCTGCGTGCAGGCCTTCGGCGCCGACCAGTTCGACGCGACGGACCCCGCGGAGTCGCTGGCCCGGGGCTCCTTCTTCAACTGGTGGTACTTCGGGATCTGCGGCAGCGCGACGGTGACCATCGCGCTCATGAGCTACGTCCAGGACAACGTGAGCTGGGGCATCGGCTTCGGGGTGCCGTGCGTGGTCATGGTGCTGGCGCTCGCCGTCTTCCTGCTTGGCACCAAGACGTACCGGTTCTACGACGACTCGGCCGACGGCAAGGGCGCCGGCGTGTTCGCCCGTGTCGTGGAGGCCTTCAGGGCGTCGAGAAAGAGATCGCCGGAAGGCGGAGAGCACAGGCATGGCGACCGCGAGGAGGACGCTGCCATCGTGGAGGAGGTGAGGGGCTTGGCGAGGCTGTTCCCGATATGGGCGACGTGCCTGCTCTACGGCGTGGTGTTCGCTCAGCCGCCGACGCTGTTCACGAAGCAGGCGGCGACGATGGACCGGAGGGTCGGGTCGTCGGGGTTCCAGATACCGCCCGCGGCGTTGCAGTGCTTCATGGGCATCAGCATGATCACCTGCGTCGCGCTCTACGACCGCGTCCTGGTGCCCGTGGCGCGCAGGCTCTCCGGCGCCCCCTTGGGTATCACCATGCTCCAGCGGATCGGCACGGGAATGGTCCTGGCCGTGGCCGCGCTGGTGGTCGCCGCGCTGGTGGAGATGAGGCGGCTGAGCACCGCGGTGGACGCCGGCGTGGTGGACCTGCCCGGCGCGGTGGTGCCCATGAGCCTGTGGTGGATCATGCCGCAGTACGTGCTCCTGGGCGCGGCGGACGTGTTCACCATGGTCGGCATGCAGGAGTTCTTCTACGACCAGATGCCCGTGGAGCTCAAGAGCCTCGGGCTCGCGCTCTACCTCAGCGTCCTCGGCGTCGGCAGCTTCATCAGCAGCTTCCTCATCTCGGTCATCGACGGCGCGACGAGGAGGGGCGGAGGGACGAGCTGGATCGCCGACAACCTCAACCGGGGTCATCTCGACTACTTCTATCTGCTCATCGCTGCGCTCACCGCGCTGGAGCTTCTCGCTTTCCTCTACTTCTCAGCTTCTTACGTTTACAAAAGGAAGACTGTCAGTGTTCATTGACACATTGGTCGACGAATTATGTGTACTAGTAAGTTCTATGCTGGCAGTTCCACTATTCATGTGCTGATTCTTCCAGCAGTAACGTTTCAGTTTTACTTTTACTTCTAATATTGCTATGAGCTTACAGTACTAGGGAAGCACAGACACACTTGGACACGGCATTGCTCTTCTTCAGAGCACGGCCAGTCCGAGAACATGGGCGCATAGCGATAACTGCAAGTACCGAAGCATATAAAAAACTTGACTGAACAAAATAGATTCATCCATCCTGAATTCTTGACTCTTGGGTTTTAGCACCGACTTTGCAGTTCAAAGTCGTAGCTGAATATTCAGAAAAGTTTAGATGAGTCGTAGCTGAATATTTAGATAAGTTTAGAAAAGTTTAGTTGTCGCTTTCGCGACCCGTTTCAGAAAAGTTTGCTGAAAGTGTTCCACGTGCTTGCTTGGCAATTTAGATAGATGCCTTTAACTGGGTGTTTCACAAGGTGGATTCAGTGTTGGCAAACTTTGGCCATCTTCGTCAGGCCTGCCCAGTCATGCTTTCCCGGGGGTTGGAGAGGTTTAATCGAACGTCAACCATTGCAGCAACTTAACTTCTGCACCAGGGATAGAATTCATGGCCAAATGATGTTGCAGGCATACAAAATTCGCAAGCATGCCCAGGTTTCAGTCGAGCAATGGAGGGGCTCCGGCTCCCTCATTGATGATCTAAGAAAATTCGCAAGCAGAATAACTAACGTTACAGCTGATGCAGAGGAGCTGGGCAGAGCAGAGCTCACCGGTCACTCCTCCTCCTCGAACTCGGCCGCCGGCTCGGGGAGCGTGGGCAGCACGGGGTACTTGCGCGAGAAGCATGCGTCGCAGTAGTCGCCGGCCTCCTCGCCGTAGATGCCGTGCAGCTTGTCCAGCGAGAGGAAGGCGAGGGAGTCGCTGCCGATCTCGCGGCGCACGCCCTCCAGGTCCATCCGGTTCGAGATGAGCTCCCCGTCGCTCGGCGTGTCGATGCCGTACAGGCACGACCCCACCACCGGCGGGCTGGCGATGCGCATGTGCACCTCGCGCGCGCCGGCGTCGCGGAGCAGCCGCACGATCTTGCTCGACGTGGTGCCGCGGACCAGGGAGTCGTCCACCACCACCACGCTCTTGCCGCGGATCACGCCGCGCACGGGCGCCAACTTGAGCTTCACGGCCAGGTCCCGGATCGCCTGCGTCGGCTGGATGAAGCTGCGCCCGCTGTAGTGCCACCGGATCAGGCCCTGCTGGAACTCCAGCCCCGACTCGCGCGAGAAGCCCAGCGCGGCGTAGAAGCCAGAGTCGGGAACAGGGATGACCACGTCGGCGCCCGGCGCCGGGGACTCCTCCGCGAGGGCGCGGCCGAAGGCGGTGCGGCGCTCGTGGACGTCGTGCGAGAAGACGACCGAGTTGGGGAGGGAGAAGTAGATGTGCTCGAAGACGCAGGCCCGGCGGGGCAGGCGCGGGACGAGGCAGGCCGAGGAGACGGACATGTCGCGGCGGTCGACCATGACCACCTCCCCGGGCTCCACCTCGCGCTCGTAGGCGGCGTCGATGAGGTCCAGCGCGCAGGTCTCGGACGCGAAGGCGACGGCGCCGTTGGGGAGGCGGCCGAGCACCAGCGGGCGGAACCCGTGCGGGTCGCGCACGGCGAACAGCTTGTCGGCCGTGAGGAAGAGCAGCGAGTAGGCCCCCGCGAGGCGCTCGCAGGCGTCGCAGATGCGCGCCAGCAGCGGTCGCGAGAGCGACGTGGAGATGAGGTGGAGGATGACCTCCGTGTCGGAGGTGGTGTTGAAGATGGAGCCGCGCGCCTCCAGCTTGCTCCGCAGCGCCTGGTAGTTGACGAGGTTGCCGTTGTGCGCCACGGCGACCTGACCGAACCTGTAGCCCGCCAGGAACGGCTGCACGTTCCGCAGGGACGCGGCGGCGCCGGCGGTGGAGTAGCGCACGTGCCCGATGGCGGCGGGGCCGGGGAGCGAGGCGAGCCTGGACGGGTCGCCGAACACGTCGGCGACGAGCCCCAGCCCGGTCACCGACTTGAGCTTGCCGTCGCCCCCGGCGGCGACGATCCCGGCGCCCTCCTCCCCGCGGTGCTGCAGTTTCTGCAGGCCCAGGTAGCAGAGCGAGGAGGCGTCCGGGTGGCCCACGACCCCCACCAGGCCGCACTCCTCGCGCGGGTGGTCGTCGGATTCGTCGTCCGCCCCGTAGGAGAACGGGGTCACGCGGTCCGGCAGGAGCGCCGCCCCGGCTGGCGGCGAAAGGCGGCGGCGCAGAGCGAGTGGGGACGGATTGGGGGCGTGCCTGAGCCGCTGCTGGTGGTGGTGGTGGCTGTGGCGCTTGGAGCCGGAGGTGGCGTGGCGGTGATGGAGGAGGCGCGACGTGGACGGGGCAGTGGCGGCGGCGACCATTCCCATTCTTGGGCGGCTGATGGGGGGAGGGGATTGCTGGCGGCGGCGGCGGCGGCGGCGGCGAGGGCTTTGGGGGGATGCCCCTCCGAGTGCGGGTCAAGGGGCGGGATTTTAAAGGGGTTTGGTCGGCTCGTGTCCGCCGTAGGATGCGATGTACAACCTGATGATACGGTGATGGTAGCAGGCAGAGATACTGAGTGGTGGGGACTGAGGTGTCGAGTATCGAGCACTCGAGAGCGTTGGAGTTGGACCAGTGAAGCAATCGCGGGTCAAGTGGCGCCGTATGGTCCATTTTCTAATTCATCCACTTGAGGACCAAGTTTTTTTTTTTGCTTTGTTCTTTTTGAGAATAAATAAATATACCACTCTTTTATTCATCACAAAATATTGTTAAAGAGAGTTTTTCAGATGCAAACCGGAGTTACATTAGAGAACCCTTTCCTCCTCCACAAGAAACGTCTCCTTCCTCCTCCCGTCGGCGCCGCCGCAGATCCGCCCCGCCTCCGATGGCCTTTGGCCTATGGAGGTGCGGAGGATCTCGGCCCCCCGCTGGCGGGAGGGACCCCGTTCTTGTTTTTTGCTAGGTTGAACGTCTTGGTTGGGGCTATTTGGCGGCGGCGATGTTCCTCCGTAGCAATAATGTCTCCCGCGTCCTATCTCCGTTTCGATGGTGCGAATAGCGTTGTCGGAGGATGTGTGGAGGTGTGTCTCCGTCGGATCTCATGGGATTCGGTCGGTGCTGGTCTTCGGTGGATCTCTTTGGATCCAGTTTTTGTTTGTCTTCGTTCGTGTGGTTCCAGGTTTGATCTTTCCAATCTATAACTCTCTTCATCGGCGATGGTTGCTGCTCCGATGTGTTGGTCTTTGGGGCCTTAGCACGACGACTTCCCGACTGTCTACTACAACAAGGTTTGCCCGGCTCCGGTGATGGAGGGGTGATGACGGCGGCGCGCCTTCGGCTCGCTCCAGTGCTTGTAGTCGTCGCTAGGTGATCCATAGACCTAGTTGTAATTTTTATTACCTCTTGTATTCTCTGTACTGTCATGATTGATGAATAGATTGAAAATTTCTCTCGCAAAAAAAAACCGGAGTTACATTGCACAAAGTAGAATCACCGGAAGAAAAACACAAATGCATATATGAACCGCCCACATTCAACAAATGGCTAACAATGACTAAAGAACAAGACGGAAAATTGCCCCGCCAAAATCCTGATGCTGGTGACTACTACGGTCTATTGTTTGATAGAGAACTCTCTGGACAACCGAAAGAGTGTCTGAAGTGAAGAAGATGACCTTATGAAAACCTTCTGGACGAGTGAGAGCAACGACGTGTCGAAGCGCTAGTGCCTCAGCTAGTTCTAGCATGCTAACCTCCTCAATGCGCTCGTGACATGCCAACAAGCACAATCGATGTGGTTTCAGATCACCACGCCCACTCCCATCCGTCGTGAATTCTGAAATGGTGCATTATCAACATTTACGAACATTGTGTCTGTTGACAACGGAACCCATCGAGACACCAAAAGGTTTGGGTGGACATGCATATGAGGTTCGACGGTTTTAAAAGCAGTTCTGCACAATCAACTCCACATAAGCAATACTTTTTTCGGCCACACGATGAGGATGTAGGACCGCACCATTGTTCCTGACATCATTCCTCGCTTCCCAAATGTGCCAAATAGTAACCACCAAAGCAGTTGCTTTAACGGGGTGTAGATCTCTGAATAATATCAAAGACCCATTGCTTGATGTTTTAAAAAAAAATTCTTGCAACACAAATGGACATGACACCTCTGTTTTCTCCGGCCTCGCCATGCTCATGTGAGGCTGGTTCGCTGTTAGCGTCCTCGTGATCAGAAAACCATAGTCGATCGGTTATCTCAATGCTGCAGTCTGAGATGTTTTATGAAGGAAACAATCCTATGGCGCATGGTCAATGTGGCAGTTGTCATAGACCATGGCAACGAAGTGTATGTCCTTGTGGAGGTGTTGATGGAGCTCCTGATGATATGCATCCCCCGAGTTCCATAGTCTGAACCGGAAGAGGCTGTTAGGCCAGACGGTGAGGTCGCTGAGATCGGGGGCTTGTCCCGTGTCTCACGCTGAATAGGTGTTAGGCACAGTCGAAGATTGCCATGAGCGTTGGTGGTGAAGGCGACGATGTCGACATAGATTGTGCATATAGGGTGTGCCGGTGGGTTGATGTCGACCCGACCCGCCCTATCAGCAGTAAACGTGAGGGAGCTGAAAATTAGGCTCTCTCCCGGTGGAAGGCCGCCAGAAGTAGAAGAAGGTTCGATCCAAGATCGATCTCCAGCCAGCGCCGCTCGTGCCTGGTGCACCAACTGACGGTGTAAAATACCGTTAGATCCCTAAGTAGGGGTCCAAGCGCAGCTGGAAGTCTTATATCGGAGGTCACACAAAGGGTTTATCTAGGTTCCGGCCTTCGAAGAGTAATACCCTAGATCCTGCTTGCTTTCTTTATCATGGTGGAGGGATACCTCGTGCCAGTGGGTTACAAATGGTGTATGAGATTGCTACTGAGGAGTTTGTCTGTCTAATAATAGATACCCTGGGGGGTTGTCCGACCTCCCTTTATATAGACAAGGAGGTCTAGGGTTTGCATGATAGTAGATGCAATCTGGGGCGTCGCCATTGTAACACCCACGATGCGGCAATATCTCCCACGTGTCGGAGCACGACTTAGAGGCATAGCCGCATGGTAGGTTTGTCGCAAGAGGGGTAATCTTCACACAATCCCATGTACTGAATAGAAAGGGATAAAGAGTTGGCTTACAATCGCCACTTCAAACAATACATAAATATCATACGTCATCTAGAATATAATCAAGGTCCGACTATGGAACCAAAATAAAGAAAGACAACCCCAAATGCTAGATCCCCGATCGTCCCAACTGGGCTCCACTACTGATCAACTGGAAACGAAATAACACAACGAACACGATCTTCATCTAGCTCCCATTTGAGCTCGGTTGCGCCACCTGCACTGGTATCATCGGCACCTGCAACTGTTTTGAAGTATCTGTGAGTCACGAGGACTCAGCAATCTCACACCCGCGAGATCAAGACTATTTAAGCTTATGAGTAGGAAAGGGTAGTGAGGTGGAGCTGCAGCAAGCACTAGCATATATGGTGGCTAACATACGCAAATAGGAGCGAGAAGAGAAGCAATGCACCGGTCGTGAACTAGGAGTGATCAAGAAGTGATCCTGAAACTACTTACGTTCAAACATAACTCCAAAACCGTGTTCACTTCCCGGACTCCGCCGGAAAGAGACCATCACGGCTACACACGCGGTTGATGCATTATAATTAAGTTAAGTGCCAAGTTCTCTACAACCGGATATTAACAAATTCCCATCTGCCACATAAGCGGGCATGGCTTTTGAAAGTTTAAACCCTGCAGGGGTGTCCCAACTTAGCCCATCACAAGCTCTCACGGTCAACGAAGGATATTCCTTCTCCCAGGAAGACCCGATCAGACTTGGAATCCCGGTTACAAGACATTTCGACAATGGTAAAACAAGACCAGCAAGACCACCCGATGCACCGACATCCCGATAGGAGCTGCACATATCTCGTTCTCAGGTCAACATCGGATAAGCTAAGCGTACAGGTACCAACATAACCCAAGTTGCCAAGGGACGGTCCCGCACGGTGCTCTGGTTTGGACCAACACTTAGACAAGCAGTAGCCCGGGGGGTTTAAAATAAGATGACCCTCGGGAGAGCGACTCCCAAGGGAAAAGTAGGTGGTGGTGAGGCAAATGGTAAAACCAAGGTTGGGCCTTGCTGGAGGAGTTTTATTCAAAGCGAACTGTCAAGGGGTCTCCATAACACCCAACCGTGTAAGGAACGCAAAATCAAGGAACATAACACCGGTATGACGGAAACTAGGGCGGCAAGAGTGGAACAAAACACCAGGCATAAGGCCAAGCCTTCCACCCTTTACCAAGTATATAGATGCATTAATTAAAATAAGAGATATTGTGATATCCCAACATAACCATACAACATGGAACAAACTTAATCTTCACCTGCAACTAGCAACGCTATAAGAGGGGCTAAGCAAAGCGATAACATAGCCAAACAACGGTTTGCTAGGAAAGGTGGATTAGAGGCTTGACATGGCAAAATGGGAGGCATGATATAGCAAGTGTGTTACGGCATATCTCTCTCAAGGTAGTTTTGGTGATTGATGACAACATGTTTGCGGACTAATCTTGTGCTTTGAATAATTCACAGATTCTCCCCTGGCACGAGACACCTTCTTCCCCTCGGAGTGTATTTCAAGACGGTGTAGCTCTTTCGTTTCTTTCTCGGTGGACTAGTTGCGTAGAGGGCACCGTACTATCAAGAGGGGGTCCGCTGGGGTTTTGCATGGGTGGAATCATCACGTACACATCAGCTTCTCACCCTCCGAGCATTTCCTGTCCATTGAAGAGATCTCTCCTCTCTTCCTTGTCCTGTCTGGGTCTAAGCGGTAGTACCGCGCACCCAGCGGTAGTACCGCTGAGGAGCCAAGCGGCAGTACCGCTCCACAGCGTAGTACCGCCGTGGCTCCACAGCAGTAGTACCGCTGGGGGCCTGGCACCTCCGCCTTGTCCTCAGCATCTTTGAGAGATTCCTTCTATCTCTCTCGCACGCCCCAGCGGTAGTACCACACTGCCTGCGGTACTACGGCCGAAGGGTCACAAGCGGTAGTACCGCTCCACAGTGGTACTACCGCCCTTGACCCCACTACCGTAGTACCGTTGGGCAGTCTGGCTCCTACCGCCTCGATTCGAGAGGTCGGTTTTGCGGCACTAGTCACGGTTGTAGTGGCGGTAGTACCGTTCCAGGAGCGGTAGTACCGCCCTACCACCGCGGTAGTACCGCATTTGGGTCCATTCCCTACTAGTCTCCTCAGCGCGGCAGTACCACTGGCTGGCGCGGCAGTACCGTTGTCCTGGCGGTAGTACCGCCCCCTCTCAGCGGTAGTACC